TGATAAAATGTAGAAAAAAGTTTGACATTTCAACTCTTGCAGCGGGCAGGTGTGTGCGTGAGACGAGAACGACCGCGGCAGTTTCACGGGATTTTGCCAGTTACACAGAAACCGTTGCCATGGTTGCCGTATGAAAAGGCCTTATATAAATCCTGTCACAACCATTCACAAGAATCTTTTTTATAACGTGCCAAAACCTTTAACATAAGGAAAGTGCAAAGTGTGTAGACTACAGGAGTGATCAATCGACAACAAAGTCAAAGCAAACTTTAGACATATAGCCTATAACAAGCGATAATCAAAACATACGCGAGAGCGACTGTGGTACACACTGCGCAGGTGGGGAAACATCCTTGTTGATACTTTATATATTATATTTTACACGTCAGCCTATATAAATGACCTCAAATCCTTTCCATTTCACTCCGCCAGCTCCTGAACCCCCCTCTTCTTTTTCTAATTAAAGATCTGCATGATTCACATGGGTCAGATTTACAGGTCACATCCTTGTTTAATCTCCATTGACTTTGCTTTGAATGTTATGTCCTGTTTCTTTACTTACATGTTTTGTCTCCCTTTCCCCTTTTTTGTTCTTCAAACTCTTCATTGTCACTGTTTCATTTGTCATGAGCTGCTCTCTTTCTGCTTCAATGTGGAGCTGACCTTCAGGTTTGATACTTTTAAAGCGCTCCTTCTGTTCTCCTTTATCCATTTCATCCCTGTGGCTTCTCTTGCTCTCTGTGTGAAAATACAGGCAGTAGAATTAAAGTCATGTCCTTGCATCACAGCATATCAGACAATTGAGTCCAAAATCAGGTGTTAATGGGCTACAAAAATAAGACACCTGACAATTTCACTTATTGCAAATAAAAGTAGAAAAAACACCACATATTTAAAAAAAATACTGACAATTTATATCATATTAAATTTACACAATTAATCACATTACTATGTCCCATTAATCTGTAATTAATTTGCAACTCACTGATTCTGTTCTGTCTCCATTTCCACACAGAAAAGATAAGTAACAAAATTATCATGATGCAAGCAGCCAAACAAACAGCCAATCCAATTATGACGGGGGACAAACTGGACTGGACCTCAAAGAAATCATCTGAAATTATAAAACACAAAATAACATGGTTTATAGAACACTAGACTTCAGCTATTTGAAACTAAAACATTGATCACATCATCAATCATTTCTACCTGGAACCTGGATGTGAGTGTCTCTGGTCTGGTTGATATTCTTCTGTTGGACTCTACAGGTGAAGCTGTTGCTGTGTCTCTTCTCCACAGTCACTCTGCTGCTGACAGTATAGAGGTCATCAGGACCTCTGACTGTCTCTGTAGGTCCAGCAGAGAGGAGGTTTCCCTCACCGTCCAGCCAAAACACCTCAGGCTCTGGATACCAGCCTGCAGACTCACACTGTAACACCACTCCCCCTTTGTCTCTGTCAATCCCTGCTAAACTGATGACAGGTGAGGAGACGGCCCCTGATGTTGAGCAAGAGGAACAATTAAAATACAGGTCAGTTTTACAAAGACTGCATTAATAATTAAAAGAGATGTATAAATGTAAATCTACACATTTTCATTTTGTCCAATACTTGTAAATATTTGCTAAACTAATGAGATTCCAGCCTCAGCTGCACTTTGTGTTTGGTCCAAATTAGCAACTGTTAACACATTAAACTACAACAAGGTAAAATGTAAACCTGCTAAACTTCAGCATGTTAGTATTGACATTATGAAGATGAACCTCATTCATCTTGTTACATTCTGATGTTTGCATTTAGCTTAATGCACCGCTGTGAATGGGGTTGTAGTGAGAGTCACTTTGTGTCAAGATTTTGGAGGCTCATGTCTTTTTTATTGTCTTTCAAAAACCAAAAACACAAGAGAAGAACTGTGAGACCTGACCAGGGACTACAGATTAAAAAAATCTCTATTAAATTAACCAATACATTAATGAATACATTGATTACAAAGTGTAATTTTTGCTTTAATGTAAGCAGCCAAAAGTTTTTTTCAGCTTTTATGTAAATTAAAGAAAAAAATTAAGGACCAGTTGTTGTTTCACACATTAATTTTAAAAAGTCAATCTGCTGCCTGTCTTGGAAATCGTATATATATGGTGTGATCTAAAGAAGCAACAGTAACATCGGGGTGCAGGGTTTAATGAAGGGTCAGCTAACATCACATCATAAAGTAAGTCACATCACATTCTGTTTAATTTATATGACTCTATGTATCATACTTATATAAACTACCTTAAGTAACATGGAAAATATTTCCTCCCAGAACATGTTCAGTTCAGCTGTTCTAAAAAACATGTAACCGTTAAACTGGTGTTTGATAGCTGTGAACTCTTCATGTCCCAACATGAATGGCTGAAAGCTGTTTTGATCCTACTTCAGTTATTCACTGGATACGCTGCACAGACTACACACCAAACTGCACTACACATACATCATGTATCTACTCACCAACAACAAGCTCAACGGAGGCGTCTGTGTTCATATCTGGAATGTAACATTTGTATCTCCCCTCATCAGAAGGTTTCACTTTGGAGAGTTTCAGTGAAATGTTTCCGTGCTTCAGTTCATCAGTGAACAGAGTTGTTCTTCCTTTAAAGGAAGGATTTTTTACATTTACAACGTCCTGACCAGCACGCCACACATAAACAAATCTGGGGTTCAGATCTGGTCTTGTCCACTCAAAAGTCTTGGCAGCAACATCCACTGCAGGCTGCAAATGACATGGCAAGATGACGTCATCGCCAACTTTTGCCACTATTGGCTGAGGAGAACCAATTAACTGGGAGTGACCTGGAAGGAAACCAAATATAGGCTAGTTATAAGTTCTTTTAGTAAGAACTAGTTAAATTAGTTCAGCTTTATAAAGTGCGGCTGAACCATATACAAAAAAATCATATTCTGATTATTTTGATTTTGTGATGTGAATTTTTATATTTTACACTATTTTACAAGTAAATAGTGTGTTCACACTGTTGCTGGGCTCACACTGATGTGCAGCCAGGAGAAGCATAATTACAGCCTAAACACATATTTGCATTGCATATACATACTTTGCCAATAATGTTGAGCCTTGGGAGGAGGTCAAACTTCAGCAAACTCAGAGTTTCCCATCTCAGGCTCAGTCAACTTAGAGCTCAGGAATAATCTCAGAGTTTGTTACGCCTGCTTTCTCAAACAGGGCCCTGAGGGCTGTTTCACAAAAGCAGAATTTAGAAATCCAGGATAACAGAAAAAGCTAGGCTTGACCTAGTGTGTTCAGAGCATCTGGGCTTTATCTGTTTCACGAAGGCCAAACCAGGCTCAGGAGGAGCGACTATGTCAAGCCAGGTGTAAGTAATTCAGATAAATGTGCTTCAACAGCTTTCTTCAAGAGACCACACAGTCGATCACAGATTCATTGATGCTGAAATGCTGAAAAGACTTGTGCAGCATACTTTACACACACAGTGAGTAACAGCGAATAAAGAAGGTTTACGATGAAAAAATGCACATATCATTTAAAAAAATAAAAGAAACAAGGCCGTAGTATTAAAACAGCGAAAAAAAAAGTGTGGCAGACAATAGAGGGCCGACTGAATGAGTAAGTAGCTAAACGTATTACTGCTTCTAACTGAAACTGTCATAATTATAATATTACTATGAATGGTAACGTTATGTCAGACCTTAAAAGTGAGAAGTGGACGTTAATATGTCACTCAGCAAATGTATTAATTACAACCACTAATCAACATAGTATCTATTCACAACAAAAGTTATCTCCTTATAGAAAAGGATCCAAGGGGACATAATTAAGGGGTGACGATACACTTGACTCACCAGATGTGATGATGCATAAATTCTCTGTTTCTGAGAACAAGATGAGAAAAAGTATTTTCACACTATTTTGAAGTAATATTCAACGCTAAAATATCTATATAATAGAGGGGAGTCTGGGGGGCCTCACTGACATGTTTTTGAGCATTAAACTCTTAATTTCCTGACTTCTGGAGAAATATTCTGTAGCAATTTATGGTGGAAATGTCTTTATTTATATAAAAGGAAACAGAAAATTCAGCTGGCTTGGACTGTTCAATATATAAAATATAATACAGTAATCAGCAGCTTGTTGTGAAAGCTTAAGTTACTATTTTGGACAGTGCACATTTGTTTCTTCTATGTTTACATTGCATTGCATGTTTTCTTATTGTGGAAATAAACCTTTCTTAAAGCATTTTCAGTTATTTAACATTTTTCATTGCAAGCAGCAAAAAATACTGTATCATATTTGTAACTGAGGCTGTAGTCCTACAGTCTGACAGCCAGTCAGACTCACACCTTTCTAAAACATGACATTGATACATCCACAGGTGAACAGTTCCTGCTGTGCTAATTGATAAGTGTTTAACAAACTATTTATTATTTTAGTTATTTGTTGTTATGTTATGTGCCTTTATCCTCGCTGTTGCTCACTGTGTGCAAAGTATGGTGCATGCGTCTTCTTCTCCAATTATGAAACCTAATAAACACAAACTATGTGCTACCATATTGCCAAAATGTAGGCTACCTGTGTTATTTTAATGCAGTGTAATGAAAAATATGCACAACACATACATAAGAACATGGAATAACTGAAATAAACACATTGGTTTCTGATCGGCGTGACCGCAGACTGAACATATTAGGCACCAGGATTAACTAAAGTTTTCTGTTACTTAAACATCTGCATGCAACTCTTTTAAATGTTTAAAACATAAATGATGCTTCCACACATGTGTTTCTGGCTATATTAAATGTTTTTGGGGGTTTTTTCAGAGAAAAACTAAAAATACCAATTTTTCAAAACAGTTAACAGTCTTTAAACCTGCAAAAATTGTTTTTTTGGTTTGTTTTTGGGGGTGCCACTCCTGAGGGCAGCAGAATCAAGCTGAGCGAACCAAAACAGTAATACTTTTATACGATTATATTTGTGTGTGAGTTTACCTGTACAAAAGTGTGATAGAAGATGGACAATGAAAAAAGTATGGTTCTGAGCGAACATTGAAGAGACAGTCCAGCCATCTGGTAAAACATCCTGCAGTTTGGAAAATGGACAGAAACCATGGAAACATTATCTTGTGGAAAAGACTCTCTGAAGTTGTGTTGAGATAAAATATGATTAAAATCCTGATCTTGTCAATTTTATCACTCAATCCCCAATTCAAATTATTACATTTAACAAAAAACTGTTTTCTTTTAATTTGAAGTCTGCTCAGGATTGAGTTTATATTTGACCAAACTGCTTATTCTGCAGAAAAACAGTTCAAATTAAAAACTTAGATGAGTAAAACGTACCGTTACATAGTTACATATTTATAATAGGTTAAAGGCTACATATTTAATCATATTCTTTTCTGGGTTTGAATTTAAACAAAGCCCTACAGACTTCACTGACCTTCACTGAGACCTTACATAAATAACATGACGTGACTTTTACTTTCACTTTTGTCACACAAACACAGACAGAACATCAGAAAACTGCGCTTTTTCACAAAACTCTCTTAGTAAATTAAAGTTTTTTGATGCTGACAGAATCGTTTCATAAAACCCTCTCCATTGCACAAAGTCCATGCCAGTAATATTTCATGTAAGATGATAAAGACGCTCAATACTCGACAGGTTGCTCTCAAACTAGCAGGCGTCCTGTTCAAATGACTAAAAAATCTAAAGCTGATTAATTTTAAAACGGTAAGATAAGAAATAGGCTTCAGTAAAAACAAAAAAACACAAAAGCTAACGGTCTGTTATTATGTGCATTTAAATAGATGTTAGACAAAGTGCGTTGAACAAGGAAAATTCGACGTACCTGCTGTCTGTTCAAGGGACTGCTGTTAATTATTAATCCAGGTAAAGTTGGTGTAAACCTGTTCTGGCCGGGCAGCCTGAGAGAAAGTCAAAGACGCGTTCCCGTCTCAAAACGTTTTGGACCACTTTGCTACGGTTTCCGGGTGGGACGACTTGTTTTCTGGGACATATGCAACGCTGAACATCGGGCTTCATGGGCTTCAAGGTATGTGTTCTCCTGTTTGGAGGGCGTGTGTCACAGGTGTTAGCCAATCAGCAGCTATGCCTGTATAAACACCGCCCTGTTAATATAATTGATGTTTCACTCTGGTTTACCAACTGCAACTTGTTAATTCAGTAGATTTAGTTTAAAATTGCAAATGCAGTTCAAACTTCCACGTTTAGCCATGCAGTGTTAACCCATCTTTTTAAGCATAGAACAACAAGGTAACTAAAATAAAGTCATCATTAGCTGTGTTACCTTATACTGTGATGACCTGAGGGGGACTACACATGTAAAATTCTGGCATATTTACATTGCTTAAAAGCTAAGATGTCCATTAATATGCACTGTCTCTTTTATATAAAATGTAAAATACAAGGCAAATAAGTGTATAGGTTTACAAACTAGCCTACTATGAATAACATGTGGTCAATGTGTAAATTAATATGCAGGATCTAAACAAAGCATTGTGATCCTGTCTGGTTTCCATAAATAGGCTAGTTTCATGTCTGTGTTGGACACAGGAGGTCCCCCCATGTTAGAAAAATACGCTGAAAAACAGCCTCTTGTAAGCCCCTTTCTGTGAAGTAAAGTGCCCTCCAAAGTGCGCCTATGTGCTAAAAATACAATAAAGGGCATCACTGTTTCATGTTGAGTGTCTTTGCTGAACTTTGAGCTTGTTGCCAGGTAACTGATCACAACAACGTTTCTTAGTTGTCTCAGCATCTTGTTAGGCTCGCTGTCTTACTGCAGGAGGCAGAACAGGACCCTTTAGAAATTTGTGTTACATCCATCAGGCCTTTCTATAAAGTGAGTGTTTGAGAGAGATAATAGGAGACACAGGGACGTAAAAAATTATATCTCCAAGAAGCTTTGTATGTGTGAAACGAGTTAATATTTGTGGACTACTGAACGCCCTGCGGGATGTAGATTTCCTTTCTGAGAGCTACACAATGTTTAATACTTTTTAATACTCCAGCAACAGTTATACTCTGCATGTATATGGAAGCTGTAGGTGCAAGTTACTTTGTGTGAATGAAAAAGCCAACAGTAAATCAAACTGTTAAATTTAGCTTCACCTTCAGTTACAACATTAAATGCTGCTGGCACCCCGGATATGGTGTCCTTTGACATATCGCTGGTCACACTAGAGTTTGAGTTTTGTTGTGGCCGTAACATGAACAGAATTGATAAAGCTTGCACAGATGATGGATTTTCTCATGGCATATACTTAACATTGGAGTACTACTTGTAACTAAGTAAACATTTAAAATACTTGTATAACCACTGCATTGTAGACAGCCAGATGATGCAGCTTTATTATCATTGAATATTAAACAGACACAACCATATTTTTGTTTTTTTATTTTTTATTTGTAGCACAAAATACATATAAAAATATATAGAAATGCAATGTAAGGATTATGCAGGAGAGGGAAGAAACCCCAAGGGTTTCTGGTAAAACCTCCCCTCTGGATTTTCAGTTAATATCATACAAAACAATTCTAGAAAAATATAATGACAGCAATGATAAACAGTTAAATAAAACATACACAAAACACACACGACATCAGTATTTTTTCAAGTTTGACTTAAATACTGACAATGATGGAAAAGGTTTGATAGAGATGGGAATAATATTCTAAATTACTGGTCCTCTGTATTTTATGGAATATTGTCCAAGAGTTGTTTGATAATAAGGGAGCAAACACAGATACCGTACATATTGGGAGCTTGGGTAAAGATCTGTTGGAGGGAACTGACTTTTCTCACCCTTTTGTCTCCAGCTCCCCATTGTCAGTCTGTTAAGTCAACGGGCAGTGATGTGCAAAGACTGTGCAAAAAAAGAAGAATAAAAAAGGACACCCTTACTGCGTGCTATGTAAAGGTTAAAGTTAAAAAAGGCTATCAGTGATGGTTACCCCCCACCCCCTAAGTGGGTGTTGATAATTCAAGATGAGAAACCACTGCTGTATGTTGAAGCCACAGTGAGTGTGGCCTCGGCTTTTGCGTCAAGTTCAGAAATAAACTGAACAGGAAGAGGAAGTTTTCACCTGCTGTAGTTCAGTCTGATGCTCAGTCAACAGCAAGACACCATGGAGGCTACATCTCTCTGCTTCAGACTGAGTGAGTACTGAGTCTCAGGTTTCTCTTTTTACTTTTATGTGTCTGAACATCAAAGCAAACATGACTGATAGCTTTACTCCTCTGTTTATTCAGTGATGCTTGAATTCATTCGGCTGGAGACACAAGCTCAGAATCACACTCAAAGTGGTGAGCAACAAAGAGAAAATCCTACAAATTATTTCTTTTTAACAGTCACATCATTCTCTCAGAATCAACATAGGAGGTTGATCTTTACCCATTAAATACATCTATGCCTAAAAATTTTCATAAATTAAGCTGATCTCAAATTTGAAGTTAAATTTGATTAGTTCAAGCTAATGTATCATTAGTATTCAACATGCATTTGGGATTTAAAAGGTAAAAAATAAATAAAAAAATTTGGCACAGTGGCCCGGTGGACAGCACTGTCGCCTCACAGCAAGAACGTCGTGGGTTCAAACCACGGTTGCCCCGGCCTCTCTGTGTGGAGTTTGCATGTTCTCCCCGGGGTCTGCATGGGTTCTCATCCAGGTGCTCTGGATTCCTCCCACCGTCCACAGACACGCGGACTTGGTTAATTGGTGACCCTAAATTGTCCTTGGGTGTGAGTGTAACTGGTTGTTTGTACCCCGCCTTTCACCCAATGTCAGCTGGGATTGTCTCCAGCCCCCCATTGGTAGTGATATTTGGGGCTGCTGCTTAGGCAATTTTTAAAGTTTATGTGGTCCATATCTAAAAAAATATTTTCACAATTATATTGTGCTGACAATCGCTGCTTGGCTTATGTTTCCAGGCAACATTTTTTTTGAGTGAATGAAATGCTAGATTTACTGTATCTAGTTCACGAGAGTCACAAGGTGTGGTCAGGGTGTATGATGGACCTGTTCTAAGTCCAGTCTGTTTTTAACGTTCAGGCAACAAAAGCACCGAGAACATTTTCTCTATGAAACATTAATTGACAAAATTTCATCATAATGTTGACAGACAACGTCATCCGGGTGTCATTATGTTTCTTTTTAAATAGATTTTAAAAGATATTTGATGTAAATAAAATTAATTTCTAAATAACAGGACTGTGTGTTTTTGCTTTTCTGTCCTTTGGAACTGGTGGAGGTCTCACAGGCTCTCAAGGGACCCCACTCAGATGGCTAACAAGTTACTTTTTGGTTGAAAGATTTGTTGGTCATTTAGCTTTTCCAAAAAAATTTATTTACCAAGCAGAAGTGTCTGACATTTTATGTTTTGACATGTTGTTCAGCTGGTCCTGTGATCCTGGAGACTCCTGCTCTTCCTGTTTTGGTGGGACAAAATGTGGTTCTGCGCTGCAGACACAAGACAACTTCCACCAACACCAAAGCTGTTTTCTACAAAGATGACGTCCTCATTGAGAGCAGTCCTGCTGATGAGATGCCAATTAACAATGTTTCCAAGTCTGATGAAGGCGTCTACAAGTGCAGCATCCCTGGTGTTGGAGCGTCACCAGGAAGCTGGCTGGCTGTGAGAGGTGAGACATGATAGTGTTACAAAGCTAAAGATGATATTTGTGCTAGTTGAATAGCCAGGACGGGAGCAGACTAGTCATGGCGATGTCACCGTTCCTATGAAAGGTCCTATTGTCTGGAGTTTGATAGAAATCTCAACAGTGTCTAGTTTCATGAAAGGTGAAAGTTCAGTGAAAGTTTACTGTTGCATTTTTTTTATTTATGGCTCTTTGTATTTATGTTTTACAGGTTTAAAATTCTATTTAAAATTAAAGTTCATGAGTGGAATTTGTAATCTAACAACAAAAACAATTTCTATCATCTCTCCATCCCCTCCTGAAGAGACCCTCCCCAAAGCCACTGCTGCCCCTAACGTCCTCATCCTGCTGTGGGTAGTTGTCACCACTTTAAGTTTGACTCTGGGGCTGCTGGTGGTGGGATTCCTTTATATTAGGAAACACAGAGGTAAAGAAAAGTAACATCATCTAATCTGCTGCATGTTAATAACTTCCTTAAAAACACTTAGAAGAGAAGGCAACTATAGCCGTCAAGTTTATGAATGAGTGCATCCTATCACACATTGGGTTTGATATTCATGTAACAGTTTACATAGTTAGAAATTGAATGACAAAGAACAGCAAAGTCACATTTGTGTGAATCATTTGTGTGAATCATGTCCGCTGTGTCCAAAGAGAGCAGGTAATTGTTTGAGAATGTATATGTATAATGTTTTTGTGTCTCTGATGTCAGTGTGCTTGCGTTTCTATCCATCAGCGGTGCTCTGCTTTTCCTCAAAGATGGCAACAGCAGCATCAAACTCCAGCAAGGACGATCAAATAGGTGAGACTGTGTGTGCTGTGATTCAAGTCATTTTGATATAAAAAATGTGTGACCATCCAGAAGGCTTCTTCACTTCTGACTGGCTGTCAGGGAATCCCAGCTATCTAACCTCTGAAGGGTCATTGTCAAGATGATGGATACCACTTGGTTCGTTGGTGCTCCTGGCTGTTGTAACGTCAGTTGTTAAGACTTGGCCTCAGATGACTCAAAGGACCAGAACGACCGGTGTTGGCTTTTTGACAATGTTGCCCCTGATTTTAACTTCTTGGATAACGATGACCTAGATCAGGGGTATTCAATTAGAATTCAAAGAGGTCCAGTTAGAGAAAATTTCCCAAAGCAAAGGTCTGGAGCATAATAATGACTAACTTGCGTTATCATTCAGTACCATAACATATAGTAGTATCAACATATGTTTTTAGTCAACAACATACTGTCAATTCAAATAATATTTCAATAATATTTACTGTCAGTTTTCACATCAAACTGGAGGGATAGTAAATAATAACTACTCATAATAACTAATATATTCAGAATTTTAGTAAACCAACAAAGTCCCTAATTTTTAACCATTTTTTTTATAATAAACACTCAACACATCTTAACAAATGAACGGCTGTAATGCCTCCTCTTCTCTTTCATTCCCTCTTGTTGAGCTACCACTCCTACTTTCTCTTGTTCAGTGAGAAACATGAGCTCTGGTTTGTCCTGCCAGCTAGGATTAGAGATACTCGAGATATTCTGTTTTTGAACTGCCCGTGGGAGGAATGTAAATGTAAGAATCTGTACATTCTTGGTTAAAAGCCATGTGAAATCTCTTTTCTCTTTCTTTGTGTGTTTCCAAAATGTCTGGTCAATCTGTCAGACTCGACTCGCAATGCTTATCGGAATGCACAGATTTGATTTGCTGAGCAGGATCATGAGACGATTAGAGCACATGCAAATAGTCAGTGAGTTTCCTGGGCCGCCAAACCTGTACAGTAAATGCTAGAAAAGCTATGCGGGTTAAAATAGAAACGCTCCGTCACGAAGTAGTAATTCTCAATAATTAATTGGCTGTAGGAGAGGACGGCAGCTGGGTCCGGATCCGGACTGTGGTCCGCCTATTAGTGACCTCTGACCTAGATGACTGAGAATCTTTATAGACAAAAACTTCTATAGTAAACTGCAAAAAATGAGCTAGTTGTTTTATCTAGATCAAAGAGTTGTTATTTTTAAACCTAAAAGAACATTTATGGTCTACATTTATGCACGTGTACTTATGTCTACCTGCCAACCTTCTGCTTCTGCATTTAATAATCTAAATGTACTTTAAATTTTTTACACAAATGTTTTCTTTTTTGTTTCAGTCTCTGAAGACAATGCTGCAGATGACCCAAACAGTGTGACATATGCAGTCGTCGTCATAAAACAAAGAAAGGACAAAGGTTTATTTGACTTTAATTTAGATTTTTCTTTTCTATAACAAGATGTGAGGAACCAACAAGACTTTATAGATAACTTACGTCTTAAGCATTTACATTTTATGTACATATTTACTCTTTAATTTAAGAAACAAAGTTATACTTTATGATTTGCAATTACGTGAATCACTTAAATAATAATAATAATAAGAGGAGTTGCTTTGTGTAACTCTCCCTGATGTTGAAAGTGGCAGTTGAGACGTGCTGCCCAGCAGGACTGATGTCTGAATTATTTTTGAATCCTCTCAGTGTGTCATAGATGGTGTTTTGTTTTTAGACACAGCAGACGCTGCTGATAATTTGAGTCTTTGCCCCAAGACAAACCACAGCAGAAAACCACAAAGACAAAAGGTGCCCATTTAGTCTGTCAGTATGAGTATTTTAAGTTCTCTTATCTGTCTGTCAACCTCTTGCTTACTGTTGGTTTCTCTGGTTCAGATGAAGATGAGTCCTCACATCAACCTGTTTACTCTACTTTGACCATGAGTGCGAATCCACGAGTTTGCAGACCTGATTTGTATATTATTAAATAGTTTTAGATAATATTTCAGGTATTTTCTAAAAATGTGCCCACACAGTTCTGATGCCCCACAAATCTTTATCTGTTTAAATCAGTATGTAACTGAGAATGCAGATTTCCCCTGCGGTTATTGTTATTTGACCCCTTTAAAGTGACTCCAAAGGCCCTGTAGCTCACACTGTAATCAATGATCTGTCACACTTTGGGTGATTCCTTTTTTTATTACTTTCTTTGGGCAAGTGAGCTGATGCTGTTCAGATTGTTGGTAGAAACTATGTGCTGTAATCAGAATGAAAAACAATACATTCCCCCTGAAATGACCTCAAAAGAGCTCTTACTGGCAAAAAGAAACAGACGCTGACATAATATTTAGCAGTTTGGTTCAAAAGGTGGAAAAATTCAATAAGTTTTAAATTTAGTACATAATACAAAAGCACAGAAAAATAGTAAAATCTACATGCAAGCTGCAATCTGAAATCTCACCACTAACAGCCCCTGTTGACAACACATGGTCCCTTTAAGACACAACAAATCTGATAATCTGAACAGCATTTTTCAATAACATGAGCTAAAGAAACAATTGTCAAGGTAATCCCATGTTATATTGAACAGACCGTTTTGACCTTTTATCCGGATAAACATTTTTAAGTCAAACTTTACATTTTCAGTGCCACCACACAGCTTCCCAAGCGTGTGCTTGTGCGCATGCTCGAACTAATAAGGGAACCATAACAGAGTCCGATACAATGGACGGCATCATATTCATCGTATTCTTTGTATCATGTTAGTTACCATTGTTCATATGTCGTAGGCTAATGTGGCAAGCCACAACGTTACAACTAATCAATGGATAACGTTGGTTGGCGTTAGTTGGCAAGCCAACTAAAATGTTTCTCTTGCTTTGCAGTAATGTTAGTTTACCTGTCCAATAGGAGGAAAGCCAACTCTGTGTGTTTATATATATGTGAGGTCTGTTCGTTACCCCAGCCTTTTGGATTTTGACTGATTCTCGTTTGGCATGAAGGGCTTCAGCACATAAAACTTTGTTATTGGTTTTTATCCTTACAGAAGTTTGTCTGTAGGAGCTGATACTTTTTTGATGTTAGCAGAGTAAAATGTTTTAGCTGCAGTAATGTCGCTGCGTATAGAGTTCAGTATAAGTTAGCAAAAACTCTTGGGAGCACGCATCAACATCATCATGTTTTTTGTGGAAAATCTGACTTGATTTTTTTCACATAGGAAGCAGTATGTTACAGGTATCCGAGAAAGCGGGCAAATGGTCCATTATTATGTGAGGTTACAACCAGTTCACAAAAAAGCAATAAAGTGATTAACTTCATTACAAAACTACATACTGCCTCTTTAACATGAAATATGAATTCTACTTGTCTCTAAAGCAGAATCTGAACCCATGAATCGCACAGCAGCCACAGACTCAAGCTTAACAGAACAGGAAGTTATCTATTCTCCTATCCAGAAGGTAAGGGGGCTTTCACACCTCAAGTCCGCACCAAGGTACGGATCAAATGATCGTTGTCGTTTTAAAAACTTTTTTTTTAACATAGTAGTGTGATGGATGCAATGAATGATGAAATACTGGTTTGAGGGACACAAACGCATTGAATATCCCTCCTGTCGTGCAGATTCATGTTTTAAAATTACGAAGGTGTCCTTCTGCTGGGAAGTCCTCAGAGTGGCTGAGAAGGAAACCCCTTCAGTTTTTTCTGAATGACTACAAACTGCTCTTTGAATCTCTATAGGGAAATGTTCAGGGCTCAACAAAACAATTAGTTTCATTATCACTTAATCTTCTGATTCATCAATTAATCATTTTATTAACAAAATAATTTATTAATAATCAATTTAATGTCAGAATATTGTGAAAAATGCACATAACAATTTCTAAAAAAACAGCTGTTGTGTTTAAGCTTCACCAATACATTTTTTTATCTTGATCAAAACAGATAAATATTCAGTTTACTATCATAACACAAGACAAAGAAAGTTTTCACACTTGAGAACTGGAGATTTGCTATTTTTGCATCATCTAATTGTTTCAGTTTGTTAACAGCGATACTGATGAAACTGTAGCTTTTTTACCGTCCTGATCTTTCAGGTAATCAGGCCTGACTTTAGCGTTTAGTTGCTCCTGTAAAAGCAGAAAACGACCCTGGAGTTAAGAATATTTTTACCAAAGATATAATCTTTTTGTTTTCTGTTTTACAGGCCACAAAGAGCAGCGACACCTGACCGAGGAAGGGAGGAGAGACCCTGTTGGTGTCATTATGTTACTATGTGTTGAACTTATTTGTGTATTTTTAAAGTAATTTCATATAACTTCATTACATGTAATTAGAATATTCACTGTAATTGAAAATGCCAAGCAATATATTTACACACATAGGGGATGTTTAGTCTTTAGTTTTAACTCACAGCATCAGTGTCAGGCAGAAGTTAGTTAGATTTATTATTAACTGTCACATTCAGAAACCATCTGTCTGTAAAAATTGTTACAGTCTTCTGCAACATTGTGAGCAATGTATTCTCCTAAATTACCTCACACACACACACACACACACACACACACACACACAGTAACTCATCAGAGGCTGACAGACACCAGTATGAATAATAACACCTACTCTATCTGCTATCATAAACAGAGAAATGTTATTGCTCAGTTTCAGTGAAGAGATATACAGACAGATTTTGTTAATTAGCTTATTATAAATTTGCAGACTTCTTTTTTCTTTTATTTTTACAGCAGCATGGAACATCTGCACAATTTGATATATAAATGTATTTTTATTGTTCTGTGTAAGCATTACCCTTAAAGCTTGAATGCATGTGCACTCCAGATATAGCTGCGGCTAGCTGACCATGTGGTTATCACAAACAACGGCTGAATTCTCAGTTCTGCGTCCATGTATGTTGCTGAAAACACTGTAAGTCAGAGGGTCTATATGCAAAAAAGAAGGGAGACATGGCTGGTAGTAATGTCTTCAAGCAGAGTTGCTAAACACCTCATTTCACTGATCACCTTACTGAAAGAAGTCATCTGTAGACTTAAGTTAGTTTCATATTGTCTGTATTCTCCCTCTTTGTGTGGCTCACTGAGTCTGGGCTGTGACACAGTAAATACAGAAAGATTAAGATAAAGACATGAACCTCTTTGTTCTTGTTCTCCAGCTCTTCCTTCACAGTCTGCAGGTCGTTCTCCTTCCTCTGCTTCTCTTCTTGGAGCTGCTGCAGCTCAGCTTGTTTGGTTTCAACCTGGAAGGACAGCGAGAAGTTTTAAAGAGAGGAGAAGAGACAAATGTTCTTTTTACTAACATTTAATACTTTACACTATAAATTAACATCTGTGTCAGAAAAAACTAATTTAAGACTATTTTGTGCTTGACCTACATAAACTACTGTGAGTTTGACTTTGTCTACATTAGATGACATAAAGAATGTGACTTCATACTAAAATCAGTGTATTATATTATTAAACTAAAGATGAACCTCATTCCTCTTGGTCTCCAGCTCATCTTTCAGTGTCCGTACTCTTTTCTCAGCTTCATCCCTCCTCTGCTGCTCCTTAAACTGAAAGAGAGGAGAGACATAAACAGGGACAACAATCCAGACATGATACTATTAATGTAAATTAAATGTTTAACAGAATAAATCAGAAGTTAAATTTTGAGTTTAAATTTGATAACTTAAGTCTGCAGTGGTTCATACTGGTTTCAGTAAATCAAACTTCCCACTTAAAGTCTCGGTTTTGTCTTTTGCTGCCATTTCAAGGATTCTCAACATCACAAAAAGTTGGTCACAATTAAAAACCAATCAAAAGACGTCAACTTAATTTAAATTCTTTTCAGCAGTATTGCATTTGTTTCTTTACCTCTCTAACTCTTTACCTTTTGTGTTGTTTTAATCTCCATTGAATTTTGCTTTGAATGTTATGTCCTGTTTCTTTACTTACATGTTTTGTCTCCCTTTCCCCTTTTCTGTTCTTCACACTCTTCATTTTCACTGTTTCATTTCTCATGAGCTGCTCTCTTTCTGCTTCAATGTGAATCTGATCTTCAGCTTTGTTTCTTTTAAAGCGCTCCTTCTGTTCTCCTTTATCCATTTCATCCCTGTGGCTTCTCTTGCTCTCTGTGTGAAAATACAGGCAGTAGAATTAAAGTCATGTCCTTGCATCACAGCATATGAGACATTTGAGTCTAAAATTAGGCGTTAATGGGCTACAAAAATAAGACACCTGACAATTTCACTTATTGCTAATAAAAGTTCAGCTATTTGAAACTAAAACATTGATCACATCATCAATCATTTCTACCTGTAATCTGAATATTTGTCTCTCTGGTCTGGTTGATGTCCTTCTGTTGGACTCTACAGGTGAAGTTGTTGCTGTGTCTCTTCTCCACAGTCACTCTGCTGCTGACAGTATAGAGGTCATCAGGACCTCTGACTGTCTCTGTAGGTCCAGCAGAGAGGAGGTTTCCCTCACCGTCCAGCCAAAACACCTCAGGCTCTGGATACCAGCCTGCAGACTCACACTGTAACACCACTCCCCCTTTGTGTCTGTCAATCCCTGCTAAACTGATGACAGGTGAGGAGACGCCCCTGATGTTGAGCAAGAGGAACATTTAAAGTGAAAACATTATTGTACTTTAAAGACTCATGTGAACTTCTATCCAGGGAAAATATCATTTAAATCCTGAACAGACTTAAAAAATATTTTTTTCCCCCTTATCTTGTCTGATGACTAATTTTATCACTGAATCCCAAATTGAAATGAATTTAACAAAGAACTGTTTTTGTGAATTCTGCTCCATGTTCTGCTTATTCTGCATATAGTTCAAATTATAAACTACACATATATACATACACATTTATACATATTAAATCATATTCTTTTCTCTGTTTGAATTTAAACAAAGCCCTACAGACTCCACTGACCTTCACTGACAGTATCGTTACACAAATAATAGGCACCATTGCTCTAAAAGTTGCTCCGTGTATCATCAGCTTTAGACATGATTTATTACTGACTAATGGACTTTGTACAGTGTAAAGGGTTTTATGAAACGATTATATCAGATTTAAAACCTTTTTAAATTCACTAAGACAGTCTGTGATACAACAAAAGTGAAAATATTTCACCTGCAGAATGTTCTTGTGGTCCCTCCCTGTTGACAAAAGTGAAAGTAAAAATCACGACATGTTTTAGCCGGTCAATGTTTTACTACCGTAATCCCCTTCCCCCACCACCCCGCCACTATCCGTTCAAAACATAGTTGGATTTGCCACAAGCAAGATTGCCCAGCAACATCGCTCAAAAAGTTGCCCAGTGTATCATCAGCTTTAGTATTGGACAGGTTGCTGTCAAACAGGCGTCCTGTGAAAAACTGAGACTTTGTTCTGCCCCGATCTGACTGAGAGAAACTCAAGGGCGCGTTCAATCTCAAAACGTTTGGAACCGGTTTTTGTGTTGAACAACTCGGAACAGTGCGCAGCGGTCTCAAGGTGTGTTCTTTACCTGCTCTATATGAAAAGCGCTATAAGATAACTGTTGTTGTAAATTGGGGCTATATAAAACGGAATTGGACATAATTGGACAAGAGAAACTGAGAAAGGTAATGTGAATGGTGTCATTGTCATGTTGGTGTTACTGGAGTAGAACCGAGAGAGTTAACGTCCATAGACTCCTGATCAGAGGAGCAGGAAGAGAAAGAGAAAGAGAGAAATAAGGTTTTACTGGTTTAACTGGCTGAATTAATTTGTGAACGTTGATGGCGCACACTCACGGTTTGACGACTCTTTGACGCAAACAATAGGTATGTAGGCTTTTTACATGTAATACTTTTGTTTTAAGACCTTAGTTTAACAAAATGTTTCCTAACCTATATTTAAAAAACCAACACAGTATCTCTCAATCTTTCACAGATCTTACTGTATTGGTGGTTTTTAGCACAGTTGGTGTTTGGTGTGTCATTAATACACAAAATGTAATAGTAGACTTGCGCTATGGAGAGCCAAATCTAATTTACATAAAACAGTACATATTCTTATATATATACATCAGATATATGAGCACAAATGAAAGCAAAATACAACACAAATTTGTTTAAAATAAATTGATACCTTTTTAAGGCTGTTTGTTCTAAAAGGGTGGTCAACATGATCTGTACCAACTTGAAATGCACTATAAACCTTTTACTGAGTTTCTGTGACAAATCATAAATCACAGCATAAATTGTTGAATCAGAAGTAAGCATACATTATTTCTATTAAATGGACTATAAATGCAAAACTATCACCAGATTGCTGAAAGTCTGAACCATGTGGGTCATTTCCCTGCCTTTAGTTTTCTAAGACCGCTAAGTAAAGGGTTCATTTTACTAGAGTTAAAGTAGTTTTCCTGTTTACAGTTGATTTATTTATATTCTCTCAATTCCAGAATGATTCACCAGAACAAACAACCTCTGCTAAGTGACCTTAGTGCTTTGGTTTTGCATCACACTGTCGTCTTGGTTCTCCTAACCCACTTTTGTGCAAGTAAGTTACACATAAGCATAATAATAAAGTCTTTCTATTCAATCTTACATAATAAAATACAAGTCTTCAGCCATGCTAGTGTCTTGGTAAGACTGTGTGTAGTGTTCACCATATTTATCATTTAGCATGCTAACATTTGGTAATTAACACTAAATACATATCACAGCTCATTCTGATATGAATGTCATTTTGCAGGTAACTGATCATAAATCAAAGTAGTGGACATACAGAAAGTTAGACTTGATGTTTGCACTAGATGAATATTCAGAGAGTCATAAAAGGTATTACAGTTAATCCTATGAAGAAAATGATGTAAATGATCCACAGTTTTATTTCACAGACAAACAACAAAGGAGCTTGAGCAGGATTTAAAAACAGCCCTGTCTTTCCCCAGGTCAGTCTCAGATAGTAGCAATGGTTGGTGAAGACATTATGTTGCCATGTCATCTGGAACCTGCCGTGGATGCTGTTTCTATGACTGTGGAGTGGGCAAGAAGAGATCTGAGCCCCAGATTTGTCCTCGTGAGACGTGGCGGTGTGGAACTCCTGATTAACCAGAATCCATTATATGTGGGAAGAACATCCCTCTCCATCAACAAACTGAAGCACGGAGATGCTTCCCTGAAGCTCTCCAATGTGAAACTGTCTGATGAGGGAACGTATATTTGCAGCATTCTCACACAGGGAACATCATCTGAGGTTAAGGTTTATGTAGGTAAGTGGCTTTAATCCAAGAGGTTGAAGATGATGAAGTCAAAGATTTAGCACGTCTGACTTTAATACATGAGACTGGAGCTTGGGTCCCATCACAGACTTGCAATTAACATTCAGCTCTTTAGTTAACCGTATCTAAAAAACAGTGTTTTAGTTAACTAACCATAATACAAATTAAAGAACTCCTGCACACTGTCTCACACTCAAGACACTGAACATAACCTCAACACTTAACCTTTGCAGTAACCACATCATTCCCTAACCTTAACCATACTATGGTTGCCATGTGCAGATAACAGAGAGAGCAATTAAAAAAACATTATCATTGTATTTAAGATTTGGTTTTATAGATTCATCCCTTATTGAAGTTCCTGTCTGGTGATATATTGAATATTGTGGTTCATTAAAGGTTTTCAAAAAGAGGACCCTTTGATAATGAGAGCAAAATGGCAGACAATAATCTCACTCTTATTAATCAATCAGTATTTGAGATATTGTAAGGCAATTTGAACATGGGGAAATATAAAAGAGACACTAAAATAGTCAAATAGAGCAAAGAGTTAAATAGAAAATAAAACAGAATAATCAGGACAGTAAACGTTACAGTGCAGTGCAAGCTATTAATCTACAGTCTAAGATTTGATTTGTTTTAATATTCAGCAGATTTAAGATGATCCTCCATTCCTGCTGTGAGTGGTATTGTGGGACAACAACAACTTGAAGCTGAATTCTGGTACAATGGTCTTAGAAAGAACTTTCAGCAGACCTGCAGTTTTCTGGGAACGCTGAATCTCCATGTTTAGTTTTGACTCTGGGGACAGAAAGAAGACCTGTCCCAAATGACCTCAGAGGTCTGGATGGTTCATAATGTAGCAACTGTATTGTAGTTCACACAGCAGATAGTTAGGAACAGTTCAGTAACTTTCAGAGTGGTGAGAGACCTGGGTTTAACTCCCCTACAAATGGGTCCCTGAGCAAGACCCTTAACCCCTAGTTGCTCCAGAGGCGTGCGACGTATGACAAAATAGCAATTTTAAGTCGCTTTGGATGAAAGCGTCAGCTAAATGAATAAATGTAAGAAGTGCTGTGATTTCATTTTTTATGGAGATTTTTGTCACATTGTCCTCTTCCTCATCTTCAGGTTCCGTCTCATCACCAGTTTTAAGCATTTCCAAAAACAGCAGTGGGTTATTATTAGACTGTAAATCTAAAGGCTGGTATCCAGAGCCTGCGGTGTTTTGGCTGGACGGTGAGGGAAACCTCCTCTCTGCTGGACCTCCAGAGACAGTCAGAGGTCCTGATGACCTCTATACTGTCAGCAGCAGAGTGACTGTGGAGAAGAGACACAACAACAGCTTCACCTGTAGAGTCCAACAGAAGGACATCAACCAGAACAGACAAGTGGAGATTCATATTCCAGGTAAACACGATTTAGAAAGTTTTATCAAGTTTAAGTACATATATTTTAGCACTATTTAATTCCCATTGCTATATCTAGGGTAATCTGATGAGCTTGGATGCTTCGGATCATAAGCAGTTCCTTTCTTTCTCCACACTTTGGCCTTTCCATCACTTTGGTAGAGATTAATCTTGGTCCCATCAGTCTATAAGATTGTGTTGCAGAACCTTTGCGGCTCATCTCTGTACTTCTTTGCTAATTTCAATCTGGCCTTCTGATTCTTCCTGCTGATGAGTGGTTTGCATCTTGTGGTGTGGCCTCTATATTTCTGCTCTCTGAGTCTTCTTCAAGCATTTTGAAACCTTCACCCCTGCACAGTGGAGGTCCTTGGTGATGTCACTTACTGATGTTTTGGGGGTTTTCTTCACAGCTTAACGATATTTCTGTCATCAACTACTGTTGTTTTCCTTGGCCGACCTGTTCGACGTCTGTTGCTCAGTTGCCAAATTGTTGTGCTTGCTCTGCCCAATGTTTGTCCAATGGCTCTGGTCGATTGTCCTTCTTTTCTCACCTTGACATTTGCTTGCTTTTCTCCCATAGACAGCTCTCTGGTCTTATGTTGGTTTATCCTCTTTAACAGGAAATGCAGTTTTTATAGGTTTGAACCAAGGATGAAAACTTAGACCAGTCATGCAGAGCTATTTAATGTTTGGAAAATCAACCTAAAAGTCAGTCACATGTTCCAATAGTTTTGCTCACTTGAAAAATGGGTGGGTTCAAACAAGCGGTGGTATGTCCTGAATTGTTTAACACATCTACATGTGAATACCACGAAATCAAAACTGAAATTCTGAACTCTTGTCTCATACTCATCTTTTGATCTTAAGCCTAAACGTCTTCAGTGAACAACAAAATCAAAGGAATTTGCCGTTACAACACTTTTGGAGGGGATTATATATATAAATATATAATATA